TTTTTTAGTAGAGACGGGGTTTCACCATGTTGACCAGGTTGGTCTTGATCTCTCGACCTCGTGATCCGCCCGCCTCGGCCTCCCAAAGTGCTGGGATTACAGGCTTGAGCCACCGCGCCCGGCCCGAAATGTTTGATTATTAATTGAACTGAAAAGCCTTTTGGCTAAGCTTTTTAAAAGTAAATTTTGCACAGTTGTTTGTCCATTAAGTGTAGAAAGGCATTTGCACTATGTGAGAAAAGAGCAAGCTGGTAGCAGTTTTGGAATAGTGATCTTTAAATCTTGAATTTCTTTGAATGTAAAACATTCAGAGTTTTAAAATGTTTTGTAGTTTTCAGTTTTTTACACTTATTTTTAAAAATTTATTCTTGGCTGGGTGTAGTGGCTCACGCCTGTAATCCCAGCACTTTGGGAGGCTGAGATGGGTGGATCACCTGAGGTCAGGAGTTCGAGACCAGTCTGGCCAACCTGGTGAAACCCCGTCTCTACTAAAAATACAAAAATCAGCTGGGTGTTGTGGAGGGCATCTGTAATTCCAGCTACTTGGGAAGCTGAGTCAGGAGAATCACTTCAACCCTGGAGGCAGAGGTTGCAGTGAGCTGAGCTCATGCCACTGCATTCCAGCCTGGGCAACAAGAGTGAAACTCTGTCTCAAAAAATAAAATTATTTTTTAAATAGTTTATTCTTTTTGATGTTATTGTAAATGGATTCAGAAATACAATTTTAATTGTATGTCAGTCTTGCATCCTATCACCTGCCGAACTCATTTATTCTAATAGTTTCTTTTTTTAGTGGGTTCCTTGCTTTTTGTTTTTGTTTACATATATAAGAGCATGTCTGTGAGTAGAGCTAGGTTTGCTTCTTCCTTTCCAATCTAGATGTCTTTTATTTCACTTGTTGACTACTTGCCCTGGCTAGAACTTCCAGTACAATGTTGACTAGAAGTGGTAAAAACAAACATCCTTCTCTTGTTTCCAATCTTTGGGGGGAAGCATCCTGTTTTTCACCTTATGCACATTAACTGTGGGGTTTTTGTAGTTGCCTTTATCAGGTTGAAGAAGTTCTCTTCTAAGTTTGTTAGGGGTTTTTATTATGAAAGGGTGTTAGATTTTTGTCAAGTGCTTTTTATACGTTTAGTGAGATGATCATGTGATAGTTTAGAGTTTTGTGTTTGCAGAAAGACCCAATTCACACAGGCTTAAAGTAAAAAGGGACATTTATTAGTTCATTTAATGGAAAAATCTAGGTGCTGTCTTAACCTTCAGGAATTATGTGGGCTGATCATGGGGTTCAAACACTGTCATCCAGATTTTCTTCCTTCTCCCTCTGTCCCTCAAATCCTTCCAGTCCCATTTCCCTTTATGTGTGAATCATGTTTAGGTCCCATGCGATGGCAGACTGCTGCCAGCAGCTGCAGACTAACATTCTTAAGACCACAGAAAAAAGAGACAGTCTCTATTTCTTTATGCCTTTCCACCGTCCCAGCAAAAGTCTCAGAATTGTCTCTGGTTGGGCCACTTGCCCATTCTGGAACTATCATTGAGGATAGGGGATGTGAAGCTTTATTTAGGCCTAAATCACATACCCACCCTGGAGCTGGTCACCTCCATCCAAACATCATGGATTAAGTGTGGAGAAGGGAGTTTTCATCAATGGAAAAGTACTAGATAGATGCTGGGTTGCCAAAAATAAATGTCAAGTATACTTTCTGTAGTGAAACAATCCAGGATAATACAAAGTATATGAAATTGGTATTTAAATATTCTTTTTTTTACCCCCTACCCCGTCCCTGTTAATGATAGCTAATATGAACTAAAACTCTTCTCTGCTCATTGAAGTTTCTTGTCTAATCCTTCCAAGCAGAGAATTTGGGTGATACCACATTGCATCTCTAATAGAAGATGGCATAAAAGAGGGTGGAGATTGGATAGGAGGGTAGTCAGGGAGTAGTACAGACCAAGAGTCTTCATCTGCCCTTTAGTTACCTTGACTGTTTTATCGTTTCTGAGATAACTGCAGATTAATTTAAAACAGAAACTGGATTAATGGTCTCTTCATCATCCATGCCTCTTTTCTCTACAATTAATCATTCCTGGGCTGTATCCCAGTTTCCCAGCACTGGAGTTATAAGGAGCAGTGTGTCCCAGTACTAATCTGAACTCTCCATCACTCTGCATTTAAATTTTGTCTAACAGGTATGAGATTTCTGTGATCTCGTAATGTGTCTTTTGAAACTGAAAGAATTTTGTGCTTATAAGGAAAGTTTTTCTTGGTCACAGTTTGTGTAGTTACAAAGGACAGAATAAAATTGCCATATATTGAATGTCTCTTGTATAATTATAACCTCCCTTAGATAAATACAGAACCTGTTATAAGGAAGGTAATGTTTAATGTTTCAGTGTTTCAGTTGCTATTATAGTTTGCTAGCTACCTTTTTTTTTTTTTTTTTTTCGGGAGACAAGGTCTCACTCTCACCCAGGCTGGAGTGCAGTGGTATGATCATAGCTCACTATATCCTCAAACTCCTAGCCTTGAGCAGTCCTCCTGCTTCAGCCTTCTGAGTAGCTAGGACTATAGGTACATCACGATGCCCAGCTAATTTTTAAAATTTTTTGTAGAGACAGGGTCTCACTATGTTGACTAGGCTGGTTTTGAACTCCCAGCCTTAAGCAATCCTTCTGCCTCAGCTTCCCAAAGTGCTGGAATTACAGGAGTGAACCATGGAGCCCAGCCTTCCAGCTGCTTTCAAAATTTATTGCATCTTTGCTTAGGGTGGGATTGAAGGCTGCTCTTCAACATTGTTCAGCTTCTTATAGGATAAAACTACTGCATTTTTTCAGTTTTAGGACACTTTTTTTCACATTGCAACAACTCTGAAATCAAGAAGCATCTTAGAACCAGTGCTATGTCACTGTTTAATTGGTAGAGTTTTTTTCTTTCTTGTGTCACATAAAATAATGGTGTGTCCTAAAATTCATGATGTGGTTGTTTGTTCTAGTTGAATATGTAAGGATGTTTTGGAGACTATTAATATTTGAATCAGCAGACCTAATAAAGTAGATTACCCTTCCTGATGTGTATGGGCCTTATCCAGTCAAAGGCTTGAACAGAACAAAAAGACTAGGTAAGAGAATTCCTCCTATGACTGCCTTGAGCTGGGACATTGGCCTTTTCCAGCTTTCATTGGTTCTTCTTAGGTTTTTGAGCCTGCTAGCGTAGAACTTAACCATCAGCTCTCCTAGCTAGCTTGCTGACTGTAGATCTTGGGACTTCGCAGTCTCTAGTCATATGAGCTAGTTCCTTATACTCTCTTTACATGCACACATACCCACCCACAAATCCTTATAATATCTTTACACACATACCCTAACACCCTACTGGTTCTTTTTCTCTGGATAACACTGATGAATATAGATGGATCCTAAATTTTATAAAATACAGTAATTGAGGTTGTTCTAAATGCCTTCTACACCAAAGTCATGGTGGGTTTGGGTAGTGTTCACACCAACCAGCATCATGGGAGTTGAGCTGTGAGTGAAAAGATGCTGTTGTTCTATACCAGCATAGTTTTTTGGGAGTGAGGAGCCAAGGTTTGGAAGTTTTAGTGCTGCAAAGGGCAGTATAGAAAGATACAGTTTTCTTCCCAGCTCTGCTGTGTACTACCTAATTAGGTCACTTAATCTACCTGGGATTGGTTTCCTTATCTATAAAATGTGCTGGTTGGACTATGTGATTTAAAGACCTCTTCCTTTTCTCAGGTTCTCCGAAATTGACTCTTCTGTTTCAGTCTGGGGAGGTAGCCTAAGATGTAAATAAACACTTGCAAAGGGCTGCTAGAAAAGCAGACCCTGATTAAGTAAATGATGAGCAAAATATCTTGCCTCCCTACTCAACTCCTTCATATAGATTTAGTGCTGACTGTTCTGACTTCTGATTACAGTGTAGTTCCCTGTTCCATAGTCTTGGGCTGGGGGTGCTCCAGGAAGTGCAGTAGCCTCCTATTAAAATGTAATAAAGTGATACCATTGGTGTCCTACCCACTTGGTTTCGTGAGTCAAACCTCAAGGGCCCATCAGATGTCTGTAGCCTCCTCTCTGATTGCCTCAGCCATGGCAGAGTACCATGAGAGAAATGTATCACTAAAGGGCTATGGCATTTCAGAGAAAGAAAAGCACTGCATCTGTCTGAGGAGGCCTGACGACAAGTCTTATGCAGAGATGGTCAGGGATGACGTTTTATGAAGAAGATCCAGTTAGAACGAGAGTCCAGAGACAGAAATACAACAAATAAGTGGTCTGACTAGAATATAGGGTGAGAGGACTAGATAAGATGCCTATTTCTAGTATGTATGGTTTGTCCCCTGAAATTCTCCAATATTGAAGTGAATGTAGTTAAGCCTTGAATGCTTTAAGATTACCTCATTTTAATGGATCAGTACTAAATAGCAAGTCAAAGTTACTTTTCCTAAGGGTCATAGGATTCTAGATGGGCTTCTTAGTTGGCACTGTGTATGACGTTTACTGAAAGGACCTTGTCATCTTTGTTGCCTTTTTTCTAAGTTCTGGATCATTTTTCTTAATCAGAAAAGGAAGGAAAGCATGTGATAACAGTAATGTTCGGGACACACTAATTATTTGTCTTAGAAAAAGTAAAAATCACAGACTACTGGTACTGTATTAGGAAAAAAATAGAATAAAAATCTCATTTATTTTTGTAAATCCTAGTACCTAGAAAGTCATCAATATACTTGTTGCAGATCCTTCCAGACTTCTATAATGATGTGACTAAAAAATATATACCTCTTTGGGCATTTTTAAGTTTACAAAAATGGGGTAAAACATACAGGTCTTTCTAACAATTCTTTCTCTTAGAATAACCCTGGCAGTGTGAATCTCCTTGGAGCTAACCCAGTCTCCTATGTTAGGCCCTATTTCTGTGTCTTGGGAGGTACTTTATACACAGGCAGTAATTGCAATGATATACTTGCTTTTGTTTTCAGGTTGGCAGCCTCGATGGTTCCTTCTCTGTGGGGGAATATTGTCCTATTATGATTCTCCTGAAGATGCCTGGAAAGGTTGCAAAGGGAGCATCCAAATGGCAGTGTGTGAAATTCAAGGTGAGAAATCAAGCAACTTGCAAGTTTTATTTTTCTTTCTGCTTTCCCTGAAAAACAAAAAAGCCCCTGGCCTCTGCATACTCCCTGCTGCTCCCATAGTACAGACCAATGGACATAGTGTTATGTCTCAAAAGAAAGCCTTGCAAATACAATTCAAAATGTAGCCAACTTTTAGAAGGAGATTGGTTAAGAGGTGGTTAAAATAAATGAGAGCAACGTGCTTTACCATGCAACTAGCGCTCATTCCTTAGTCACCTGCTCACCTGGGACCAGTGGCTATTAGCAAAATTTAAAAGTCTTTACTATAGCATCAAACACTTCCGTGTTTAAGTCAGGATGAACACACACACACCCACCCTCTCCACCAAAACAAGCAAAAACCTAACAGACATTCAAATAGTCTTTACTTCTTGGTTTTATCTTGAGACATGCTGAGAAGGTGTGGCTTAGAAGGCAAACAGATTAAATGGGAATTTAGGGAGTGGATATGGGTGAAAGAGTGTGGTTTGCTTGTTCTTCCCCTAAAGGCCTCTGAGAAAATTCTCACACTTTTGGTCTGACTTGTCAAGGGAATTAGAAGATGGAAAAGATTGTATTTTTTATTGTTTCCCGATAAATCCAAGGAGATGAAAGACATACCCTTGTTTCTTGGCCTCAGAGCAGCATACTTAACACATACACCCACTGAAAGAGAGATTCCTTCTCTATTTTGATAAGACATCAATTTAACTGAAAAGTTAATTGGGTGATTCTTTTTTGGGTCATAGTCTTAGTGATGCCTTGGAGCCTATTGCAAGGTTTTCCCTCTTGATCAGCAGAGATGTCTAAGATGAGATAAGTAAACAGAACTTTGTGTGAATTAGGAGAAGTCACGAGGACTGGCATCCTCTTTGGAAGGAACACTTCAATGACTGCCATCAGTTAAGCTCAAGAAGTTGGGTTAAGCTCAAGAAGACAGGGCTCTTCTAGGTCTCTGACCTCCCTCTGTCTTGCTCCCAGTTCATTCTGTAGATAATACACGCATGGACCTGATAATCCCCGGGGAACAGTATTTCTACCTGAAGGCCAGAAGTGTCGCTGAGAGACAGCGGTGGCTGGTAGCCCTGGGATCAGCCAAGGCTTGCCTGACTGACAGTAGGACCCAAAAGGAGAAAGGCAAGTATTGATTGTTCTTCACTGGCATCTCTGATCTTGCTTATTTGTTCTCTTGCCTCTGACCACCTAGCCAGCTTTTGTATCATGCAAATGCTGTGTATCTTGCTATAATTTAAACTAGGGTCCATACCTAACTCTTCTTTCTTGGCATAGCATATTGCAGAGTGCAGGCTTGAGAGCCAAACACAGCTGGGTACACATGATGGCTTTGTAATTTATTGACTGTATAACCTTGGCATAGGTCACTTAACCTTTCTTACTCTCAGTTTCTTCATTTTAGAAAGTGGTAATAGATCTTGCCTTAGGAGGATTACCATGAGGATTAGTGATGATAAAATGGCTGAGTACCCAGTCTGGTACAAACTTGACCTTTGGGAAGAGTAGTTGAGACAGATAAGCCTTGGATCAGAATGTTTTCTGTTGTAACACCCTGCTCTTCCTTCGCTTTTTTTCTGGGGTGGGTTGGATGCTTAATTGTGAGGTTGCTGCTGCGTAATGCTCATTCACTGGATATCATTAAGTTCTCCAGAGAACCATGGCCTAACTTTCTCTTTGGACCGGGGCAAGAATGCCAGGGCTCATTGCCTGGGTCCTAGTTGCTACCTTCCCTACCCCATGGCCCTATATGTACCCTGAAGAGATGAGCTAGGGTGGGGTGTAATGGGAAAAAGTGTTCCAGGGAACATCTCTCATGACAGGTGTTGCAGGTGTGCTTCACTCTTCAAGTAGACTCATAAATTGGTCTCTTCATTGATTGTTTCATTGCTAAATTGGGAGCAAATTCTAGAAGCTGTTGGCTTTGACTCAGAGCAGATAGTAATATGCATTTTTTTTTTTTTTTAATGGAGAAGCAAACAGAAAAGTGGTAATAATTGTAGCTGAGCCCTCAATGCCAGGGTGTCTGGAGAGCATTGCTAATAATAATTGCTGGGTGCCATTAGCCTTGACAAGGCAGCATACTGAACCAGTCCTCAGCTAAAATTATGAATGGTGTTCTTTGAGGTAATTGGACACTACAGAATGCTTTTCCCAGGTAAGAGTAGAGCACTGCATTAGTAGATAAACAGCTCTGACCCCATTTTATAGATAGGAAAAACTCTCTGGCAGAACTGAGGCCAAAACTCTGAACCCCTTAGCTCTGCTCCCAGTTCTGAGAGGAGTGGATCAGACAGTATATTGTCTCCTTCTTTGTATACTGGTGATTATTCGGTATGTTGGCTTAAGAAATAATGTATACTACTTTAAAAGACTGGAAATCTACTTTCTCTGTTTTTTCTTGTGCTTATGTCTTCACCTGTTACATCTGCAACCCATTTAAACATCTGACTTTGGGCATATGTTCTGTGTAGTAGCTTAGCTAGTAAATCAGTTGTTTGTTCTGATGACTACATTATCATCATTTTGTTATTTAGAGTTTGCTGAAAACACTGAAAACTTGAAAACCAAAATGTCAGAACTAAGACTCTACTGTGACCTCCTTGTTCAGCAAGTAGATAAAACAAAAGAAGTGACTACAACTGGCGTGTCCAATTCTGAGGTAAAATATTATTAATATATGTGAATAATATCAAAGAAGTGACTGCCAGAATAGCAATTCTGAGGTAAAATATTTTATTAATATTATTAATATACATAAAAAGGATCAGATGTTGTTTACAGGTGGTATTTACTCTCAGCTAATTTATGACTATCTTGGAATATACTGTTTTATAGAGGAAAAAAGTAACAAAATACAAGGAGAAGCAATATGTGCATTTCATCATGTGGAAGTATATAGCTTTCCCTCCTTGAATGAATTGGGAATTAATTAATTGATAATATTTGGAACCTTTAACTTTAGTACTGTCATACTCAGATATGTTTCTCTTCAGTTTATATTGTTTTGTTAATTCCAGTCTTGCAAAGCTGCTTCTATAGCTATGGCTATTAAGATGCCAATTTAGTGTCTGTCATTGATATTCATCTATGAGACAGTATTTTACAATCATAATTGTGCTTTGGAATAGAATAGTGCTTTCAAAGATGGAGACACAGCTTTTTTTCTCTTCATTGTCAGCGAGACTTGTGAGTTTTAGCATTTAATACAGTCATTATTCACCTATTTTAAAACACATATTAAGGGATTTCTCTGGTGTTAAGCTGTACATGGAATGGCTCATATTAACCAAGGACTCTGCTCTGCTTTCAAAGATGTTTCCATCTGACAAATAATGCATCTGCAGATTACAATTAAACATTTTCGTTTATTTTTTTGGTAGTAGAAGAACACTATGCTACTAGTAGTACATGTGTTTTGAGTTTTTCTAAAAAAGGTGGTTTAACCCACTTGTATTCACTTCCTTTTGGACACACTTACTCATTCAGCAGCTGCCTATTGTATATGAGATAGACTGCTAAGAGAGGAGAAGGGAAGATGAAGGATACCAAAAAAAAGCATTTCAATCCTGCTCTTGGGAAGTTTATAGTCTAGAGCAGTGACTTTCAACTCAGAGCAATTGTGCCTCTTAGGAGACACTAGGAAATGCCCAGAGATACTTTTGGTTGTCATGACTGAGTGAGTTACAATTAATATAATGTAAATTGAACCACTTTACTACCTAAGGCTTTCAGCAGTTCCCTCATTGCCTGTAGGTTAAAGTCAAATAGTACTAATAGTTACTGATTAATAGATAAATTGGGCTTTTCTTTTATAACTGATGTACATATTTGCCCAGTAGATGGATACATTATTATTATTTTGTGGACAACCTCTCAGGACATTCCACAGTTGGAAATTTTTCTTTTTTAGCAAGGTAAAGGAGTCTTCCACTCTGGTTGTTTCGTAGGAGGGAATTGATGTGGGAACTATGCTGAAATCAACCTGTAATACGTTTCTGAAGACCTTGGAAGAATGTATGCAGATTGCAAATGCAGCCTTCACCTCTGAGCTGCTCTACCGCACTCCACCAGGATCACCGCAGCTGGCTATGCTCAAGTCCAGCAAGGTAAAAGTCCTGCTCAGTTTGGCTGCAACAATGCATCATGAAAAACTTATTCACTGCTTGTGTTAATAGTTCCTCCCACTCCTTTGTGTCATTTTGCAGTGCCAGGAATGCTCTTCATGTCTTTCGTGGATTAGCTCGTATTCTTCCTCAAAGACTTAGTCTCTTCTTCCCTGAATCCCTAGGTTGGGCTAAGAGCCTCTCTTATGCATATTCATATTTTATTCATATTCCTTGTTTTAGATTGAAATGGTTTTTAGGGCAAGAACCCCATAGTGTCTGCCTTTATGCCCCTAGTATTTGATATAATACTGTGTCATAGTTTGCAACTTACTAATGTTTAATGAGCATAATTAAAACTACAAAGAAAGCTGATCACTGAGTTTGACTGTGATCTTTTGTCTGTCAAAAGATCATCTTCCTTTTCCTTAGAAATTTATTGGAATAAATAAGGACTGGTTGGAGAATCATGACTCCCTTTTGGGAAGACCTAAAATTGTTTAGTGGGGCTAGTGTATATTATGGACATATGGTCGTATTTACCATTTTCTATGTAATAAGATCCTAAATATGCCCTGTTCAAAATTTAACGTGAACTTTCCTTTTTTATTTTAAAGATGAAACATCCTATTATACCAATTCATAATTCACTGGAAAGGTACGGTAGCTTTTTCTTCCTTCTTGATAAAAATTAAAAAAGGATTTTGTTATCTCTTGTTTAAAAAAATGATACTTTGATCATATAATGGTTTTCCTCAGGAGTTGAAATAATATGGAAGTAAACAGTATCTGACTTTCTTCTTCTGGGTGAGCCTGAATTAACACAGAACAGACTTTTCATTTAGCACTAATAGGGAAGATGTTTGCTTTTTCCCTAAGATGGATCTCACCTATCACATCTAGCAACTTTTAATCTCTCTAGGGTGTCCTGAAGATTGAAACTTCTCTTGTAGAGGAGCCGAGCATTGTTTTAAGTGTGCTTTTATTTAAAAATGATAGTAGTGCTATTTTGTTGAGTTTAAAAATAAAAATCTTAGGTAGTGTTGCAGGTTGAAAAATAACGTAGTATCAAAATCTAAACTATTTCTGTTTCCCTAAATGTTCCTTCAATTTTTGGTAATTTAACCCATGGAAGTGGGTTAAATTCCACGTGTTAAATTACTGTAGCCTCAACCTCCTGGGCTCAAGCAGTCCTTACCGCAGCCACCCGAGTAGTTGAGATAATGGGTACATGCCACCAAGCCTGGCTAATTTTTGTATTTTTTGTAGAGACAGAGTTTCACCATATTGCCCAGGCTGGTCTTGAACTCCTGAGCTCAAATAATCTACCTGCCTTGGTTTTCCCAAGTGTTGGTGTTACAGGCCTGAGCCACTGTGCCCAGCATCAAATTATTTAATAGTTTATCTCTTTATGTACTGTTGTTTACTTCTTTATTACAAGGATTGTTCCCAATTTAGTTATTTCCAGTTTTCTCCTGTTCTAAATATTTCTACTAGAAGTGTAATTGTAGATTTTGTTGTTGTTGTTGAGGTCTTTACCTCTATATACTCCTACATTTTGAATTACTAGGTTGAAATGTGGTATTTTTTTTAGAAAATCGCAAATATTTTCCTGGAGTTACTATGTAGCTTGGACCCTTCCTCCTTATTTTTGTTGGAAGAAAATATTTTTGTTCTAATTTGGCTAGGTATAATCACCTAATCATAATAATAAGATACCATGATTGTTCCTTTAACCCAGGCGTCCCCAAACTTTTTACACAGGGCGCCAGTTCACTGTCCCTCAGACCATTGAAGGGCCGCCACATACTGTGCTCCTCTCACTGACCACCAATGAAAGAGGTGCCCCTTCCTGAAGTGTGGCGGGGGGCCGGATAAATGGCCTCAGGGGGCCGCAGTTTGGGGACGCCCGCTTTAACCAGTAGAATCAGCTGTTCTACTTGCATGTTAGTTGGCTTTTTCTGTTACCCTAATATGCTGACAGTTCCCTCAAGATGTGATGTTATCCTTCTGGGTCTTTTCTGTCAGACATACTTTATTTATTTATTTTTTATTATTTTAATTTTTTGAGAGGGCGTCTTGCTCTGTCGCCAGGCTGGAGTGCAGTGGCTCAATCTTGGCTCACTGCAACCTCTGCCTCCTGGGTTCAAGTGATTCTTCTGCCTCAGCCTCCCGAGTAGCTGGGACCACAGGCACGTGCCACCACACTTGTCTAATTTTTGTATTTTTAGTAGAGACAGGGTTTCACCATGTTGGCCAGGATGGTCTTGATCTCTTGACCTCATGATCCGCACGCCTCGGCCTCTGAAAGTACTGGGATTACAGGTGTGAGCCACCGTGCCTGGCCTCTCAGGCATACTTTATAAGGAGTACTTTCCCTGGCTGGGCATGGTGGCTTACATCTGTAATCCCAGCACTTTGGGAGGCCAAGGTGGGTGGATCACCTGAGAGTCAAGAGTTCGAGACCAGCCTAGCCAACCTGGTGAAACCCCATCTCTGCTAAAAATACAAAACTTACCTGGGCGTGGTAGTGGGCACCTGGGCAGGAGAATCACTTGAACTCGGGAGGCGGAGGTTGCAGTGAGCCTAGATCACACCATTGCACCCAGCCTCGGCAACAGAGTGAGATTCCATCTTAAAAAAAAAAAAAAAAAAAAAAAGGGAGTACTCTGCCATGACCACAGCATGTGGCTTCTAGACAGTTACTGGCTGGGCAGACACAGGGAAATGGCCAGCGATGTAAAGAGAGAGAAGACACCTCCCAGGGAGAAGTTGAGGAAAGTATTCAAAGTGGCACCTGGAGAAAGCTGATTGAGAACCAAAGAGCTGTCAGTGACTATTTCCTGATGCTGCTGGGGAGCTGGAAGATTGGGACTGTTGAGGGTGCTAGGAAAGACATAAATGGCTCTTTTATTTCTAAATTGCAGCCTTGGAGGCAGGAGGCTGGGAAGTTTGGCTTGATTTATCAGTTCTTTCAGAGGATGTTAAAAGGATAACATTTACCTGGGCAGTCAATTTATGACCAGGTTGGGGAGGTGGCTCATGCCTGTAATCCCAGCACTTTAGAAGGCTGAGGTAGGAGGATTGCCTGAGGCCAAGTGGTCAAGACAACTTGGGCAACATAGTGAGACCCCCATCACTACAAAAAATTAGAAATTAGCTGGGCATGGTGGCAGGCAACTGTAGTCCCAGCTACTCAAGGTGGAGTGTTGGGCTCAAGTAGGAGGATCGCTGAAGCCCAGGAGATTGAGGCTGCAGTGAGCTGTGATTGTGCTGCTGTACTACAGCCTGGGTGACTGAGTGGAGACCCTGTCTCAAATTAAAAAAAAAAAAAAAAAAATTATGAGCAAATAACTGCACTTTCTGACTTTTTTTCCTTTTAAAAAAATTGCAGACAAATGGAGCTGAGCAGTTGTGAAAATGGATCTTTAAATATGGAAATAAATGGTGATGAAGAAATCCTCATGAAAAATAAGAATTCCTTATATTTGAAATCTGCAGAGATAGACTGCAGCATATCAAGTGAGGAAAATACAGATGATAATATAACAGGTAAAAACAAAAGTAAAGTCTGAAGCACACCAATTTTAGATGATAGAAAATTTGGGGATTTGATTTATATCCATGATAGGGATTCACCTCAAGATCATGTAGTAGTGTCTCCTAAGGAGGATATTGGCTGGGTAAGATAGGTCATATGACTGAAAAACATTCTTTCATCCGGTCTGACCTGGTGTTGAGAAGGCCGAATGAAGAGGAAGATTCCTGCTCATTGTTCTTGGCTACGTTCGTGGGCCGCAGTGAGCAACAGCTATGCATGCTGGCCTTTTAGAGGGTAAAAGGCCTCTGGCCTTCAACCCTGTATCTTAAAAGTCCTTTGAACTTAGACTATGCTGTGAGACTGAACAGTCTGTAAAATTATGACAGTTCAGTTTTTCATCCTCCTGGGTTCTGTTGGGCCTGAGGATGTCAGAATTCACCTGTCACCATGAGGTTTCTACCCAGTCTTCACTGTGTTTATCTCAAAGTCCCATATTTCAGGTATTGGGTCTGTAGTTGAGAGATGCTAATCTCTTGACACTAATCACTGAAATTTACTTCATATCCAAGACAACTATATTAGAGCTTTTAATTGTGTTATAAGTACTTAATAATTTGAAAATGAAATTAAAATTTTCTCCTCGTCTACCTTGAAATAGACCTCGTTTTTTCCAGATGAATTGAGGAGCAGTATGGGAGTTGGGGGAAGGAGCTGTGTTTTCTTAGCTGTTAATCTGAGAGAGAGACAATCCATACATCACTGGAGTCTTATCTCTTGGCTAAATAATAAAGATAGGAGAAAATGTCTGTCCAAATAGTGCAGTCACGTATTTGCTCCTATAGTTTTACTTCTAGGAATTGTTCTTCAGCAGATAGATTTAAGGATGAAGACCTACGGACAGGGATGTTCTTTGTGGCATTACAGTCAGTTCTCATTATTTGCAGTAGTTATGTTTTATTGAGTCATCATGAACGCTGAATTAGCAAATAGTAAACTGTTGCTCCTGGGGGAAATACAGGGTTAGGTTCCTGCAAGCCTCTGGTCACGAAATTTTTGTTTACCAATCAATATATAACCTTGTTTTATGTGTGTTTTTGTTTAAAGACACTTTAATATGTATTGTTGATTCATTAACATTGAGCTCACGGCAAACAGCACTATTACTTATGCTTGAATGAAGCTTATATAACACACATCTTTTGTCCAAAAGGCACATCACAGCCATTTTGTGGGTAGGAACACTCGAAAGTACTATACTTGGGAGCCCTTTTAAACAGCAAAAACAACAAAATGCACAAACATGCATAAAATGTGGCACTAAGTAAGGACATCTGTCTATAAATGAGTGCAGAAACAAGAAGGCAGGACATCTCATTGCTCTACCTCAGCTAGGAATATGAGGAATATGTGTGTCGAGCCACAAAGTTTTCACCAGTCTGCACATTCCACAAATGACTGCAGAGGTGCACCAGAATTGATTTTCGGTTACAACTAAATTTCAGCAAGTAGACAAATTCACAAATATGTATAGAATGTGCTAATTAAATGAGTAGTGATTATATTTATAATTGTAAAATTTTGGAAGCCACCTAAATGCCCCTCATGGGAATGGTGCAATATAACATGGTCATTACAATCATGATTTTGAAGAGTTGAATTATAATGAAAATACTCATGATACATTGTTTAGTGAAAGCAAGCAGGATACAATGTACACAGGCTTGAAGTTGTGTTTGTATGGGTAGATGTATATATGTGTATGTGAACAGTGTTTCATGAATTTTTATTTCTGTGTATTTTTCTGTTTTTGAAAGTTTTAACAAAGACTATGAATTTTTATAATAGATTAGTAATAGATATTTTCTACTCTGCAGTCCAGGGTGAAATAATGAAGGAAGACGGAGTGGAAAACCTGGAAAACCATGACAATAATTTGACTCAGTCTGGTTCAGATTCCTCAAGTTGCTCTCCAGAATCCCTCTGGGAGGAAGGCAAAGAAGTTATCCCAACTTTCTTTAGTACCATGAACACAAGGTATTCTAGACTTTCTAATATTACTGATGTTTGGATACTAGCTTTCATTCTGGAAAATCAGTCATGGTGTTCCTTTCAGGTGATGGCGTATTCTAAGAGAATAGAGAATATAGCATACCAAGTACTTGCTTTACTGTTTTCTTTTTCTTAACAGTGAATACGAAGGAATTGATTGTCGGGTGTACTCTGAACACATTTTAGCGTGCTTTGGTGGATTATCTTTAGAAAATTATTTTATGAGACCTTATTAGAAAAACAGTCATTGGAGCATATGAAGTCAAATGATTTGCCCTACAGAGGGACAGCTGTTTCTCTGACTGCCTTTGAATTGCAGAGTGCTGATACTGTATTTTCAATCTTTTCTCCTCCATATCACCAAATTATGTAGCTTTAGTGACATTGAACTTCTGGAAGACAGTGGCATTCCCACAGAAGCATTCTTGGCATCATGTTATGCTGTGGTTCCAGTATTAGGTAAGATTCCTGCAGTTGCCTTACATTCATTCATCTCTAGAATCTGTCTCACTGCAGTTGTTTTGCAGGAGAAATACCCTGAACTATGTGTGCAGTGAGATGACCCTTCTTAGCTACTTGTTCAGATCACCAGCCACATACACTTAAAACTATATGACCTTAAGCATTATTGCATATTCCCATTTCATTTCTAATTATGATTAAATATTGATCTCAGAGTAGTATAATTTTAAAGGAGGATTTTGCTTTCTAAAAACCATACATAAAAGTAAAACAAGTAGTTGAGGAATAAGCCTTCATATATTGGCACTGTGAAAAAATGTGTTTTACCAATTACAAGTTTTTTGTTCGTTTTTTGAGAGTGTCTTGCTTTGTTGCCCAGGCTGGAGTGCAGTGGCATGATCTCCGTTCACTGCAACCCTCACCTCCCAGGCTCAAGAAATCCTTCCACCTCAGCCTTCTGGGTAGCTGGACTATATCTGCATGCTCAGCTTATTTTTGTATTTTTTGTAGACATGGGTTTTGTCATGTCACCCGTACTGGTCTGGAATACCTCGGCTCAAGTGATCCTTCCCTTCCAAAATGCTGGGATTACAGGCATGAGCTACCACACCTGGCCAGAACATATTTTCAAAGATTTTTAGTTATTCTCTCTCTCTCCCCCTCATATATATATATTTATATATATTTATATTTATGTTGTATGTAAATATAAATTTACATGTCATATGTAAATGCATGTTTATATATGTTATGGCTGGGTGTGGTGGTTCACGCCTGTAATTCCAGCACTTTGGGAGGCTGAGGTGAGTGGATCACCTGAGGTCAGGAGTTTGAGACCAGCCTAGCCAACATGGTGAAACCCCATCTCTACTAAAAATATGAAAATTATCTGGACATGGTGGTTCATACCTGTAATCCCAACTACTCTGGAGCCTGACGCAGGAGAATCTCTTGAACCTGGGAGGTGGAGGTTGCAGAGGCGCAAGATTGCACCACTATACTCCAGCCTGGATTACAGCCTGTCTCAAAAAAAAAAGCGTGTGTGTGTGTGTGTGTATGTGTGTGTGTATGTGTGTGCACACACATACACACACACATACACACACACACACACATTTGTTATATATAAGTTTATTAAGATCAAATTCACTTTTACTTGTATAAAGTCAGTAATGCCAAGGATGGCTAATGTGTTGAAGTTTGCTTTATGTCCCATTTAACTATATATCTATCTTAAAAGTTGAGGTATAACTTGCATAGGACTTAAATGTTATGATTCAGTGAATTTTGACAAATGCACTTACCTCTGTAATCTATATTCTTACAAAGAAATAGCATGTTTTCATCACCCTGGAATGATCCCTGTGTCACTTAGCCTGAAATAACCATTTTATTGATTTCTCTGTCACCATAGGTTAGTTTTGCCTATTCTAAAACTTGATATAACTGGAATATTATAACTTTTGCATCTGGCTTTTCTCATACAGTACGTTTTTGAGATTCATCCTTGTCTGTATCAGTAGTTCATTCTTTTTTATTGCCAAATAGTAATCCATTAAATGAATATACCACAATTATTTATTCACTCTCTTATTGATGGACTTTGGGCAGTTTGTAGTTTGGGACTTTTTTTTTTTTCTTTTTGAGACAGAGTCTTACTCGATCACCTAGGCTGGAGTGCAGTAGCATGATCTCAGCTCACTGCAACCTCCACCTCCCAAGTTCAAGTGATTCTCCTGCCTTAGTCTCCCGAGTAGCTGGGATTACAGGCCTGCACTACCACACCTGGCTTTTTAATTTTTTTTATTTTTTTTTGTATTTTTAGGAGAGATGGAGTTTCACCATGTGGGCCAGGCTGGTCTCAAACCCCGGACCTCACATGATCCTCTCAAAATGCTGGGATTACAAGCATGAGCCACCACTCCTGGCCAGTTTGGGACTATTATAAATGAAATTACTCTAAATATTTTTGTGCCTATGGGGCTGTGCTTTCATTTCTCTTAAGTAAATACCTAGGACTGGAATTGCTGGTTCATAGTTTATGATAAATTGCCAGTTTATGTAGTGGTTGTGCAATTGTGCACAGTGTATGAGTCTTCCAGTTGTTTCACATCTTCACTAGCATTTGGTGGTGTCAATATTTTGTGTTTGGCCATTCCTCAGTGTTTTAGTGGTATCTCATGTGGCCTTAATTTGCATTTCCATGATGACTACGGACACTGAGCACTTTTTTGTATAATTACTGGCCATTTCTATCTCTTCCATTATGAAATGTCTGTTCAAATCTTTCACCCATTTTAAAAGTTAATTGTTTTCCTTTTCATTACTGAGTTGTGAGAGTTCTTTATATATTCTTAACTAAAATTCCATTGTAGACATGTGAATATTTTCCCCCAGACTGTGGCTTGCCTCCTTCTCTTCTTCATGATGCCTTTTCAGCAGATGTTTTACATTTCAATGAAGTCCAATTTTTTCCTTTATACTTAGTGCTTTTAATGACTTAAGAAATCTTTACTTATCCCAAAGGTCATGAAGATATTCTGTTTTGTACTAGACTCTTGACTTTTACATTTGTGCCTATGAACCAATGGAATTATTTTTTCTGTGTGGTATGAGGTAGGGAGTTGAGGTTCATTTTTTTTTTTCCCCTTGTGGTATCTGGTTGCTCAAGAACCATTTGTCAGAATATATTTTCCCTTTTACGTTGCTTTGGCAGCTGTGTCAAAAATCAGTTGAACTTAAAATATGGGACTGTTTCTGGACTGTCTCCTCTGTTCCAATGATCTTATAGTGTCTTAATAATTATAAGACTTGAAATCAGATAATCTAAGTCTCTCAAGTTTTTCTTTTTCAAGATTGATTTGGAAATTTTAGGTCTTTTGATAAATTTTAGCTGTTCAATTCCTATTTAAAAGCCTTTTAGGATTTTGATTTAGATTACATCATATCTGTAAACCAATTAGGGGAAACTGACATCTTAAACAACATTGAAGGCAGGGCTTACTGGCTCATAATTGTAATCCCAGCACTTTGGGAGTCCAAGGCAGGAGGATCTCTTGAGATCAGGAGTTCGATCCTGGCCTAGGCAACAAAATAAAACCCTGTCTCTATTTTAAAAATTAGCCAGATATGATGGCACAAGCCCGTAGTCCTAGCTACTTGGGAGGAGGGTGATGCAGGAGGATCACTTGAGCTTAGGATCTCAAGGCTGCAGTGAGCCATCATTGCACCACTGCATTCCATCCTAGGTGATCGAGCAAGACCCTGTCTCAAAAACAAAAACATTGAATTTTCCAATCTGTGAGCATGCTATATCTCTCTATGTCATTTTAATTTTCTCTCAAGAATGTTTTATGTAGTTTTTAGTGTACAACCATCATACATCTTTTGTTAGGAATAAATTTTAGAATTTTATTTTTTTATGCTATTGTAAAAAGTGTTTTATTTCATTTTCCAATTTTTTTTTTTTTTTTTTTTTTGAGATGGAGTTTCGCTGTTGTTACCCAGGCTGGAGTGCAATGGCACGATCTCGGCTTACCGCAACCTCCGCCTCCTGGGTTCAGGCAATTCTCCTGCCTCAGCCTCCTGAGTAGCTGGGATTACAGGCATGTGCCACCATGCCCAGCTAATTTTTTTGTATTTTTAGTAGAGACGGGGTTTCACCATGTTGACCAGGATGGTCTTGATTTCTTGACCTCGCGATCCACCCGCCTCGGCCTCCCAAAGTGCCGGCTCATTTTCCAATTATTAATAGCATGTAAAAACAAATGATTATATGGTGAGAGTTGTTTTTATAATTGTGAATAATTTTATAAATGTTTTTTCTTTTTTGTTGAAGTCTTTTCTGTAATTTGTTAATATAGTGAATTACATGGTTTGGATGAATTTCATTCATTATCTTGATATTTCTATCATCTTGCTATTTGTTTTCTACATTTCTCTGTATGTTCTTTGTTCCCTTTTTACTCCTTTTCTGATTTCTAGACAGTTAAATAATTTTTTTTTTAATAATTCTGTTTCATTTCCTCTTTTGGTCTTTTAGTTACCTATCTTGATCCCTGCCTTTCTTTTAGATCAATCAAGTATTTTTTTTTTTTTTGAATTCCACTATCTTTCCTCTCTTGGCTTTTTAGCTATACCTCTTTGTTTTACTTATTTATTTATTTTTTGGTCATCTTTCTTGCCCAACAGAAATACTCAGACTGCATATGTAATTTTAAATTTTCTAGTAGGCACATTAACATAATAAACAAAAATTAATTTTAATAATATATTTTAAAACCTAGAATATATAAAATATCTCAACATGTAATCAATATAAAAGGATCATTGGGCTGGTTGTAGTGGCTCACGCCTCTAACCCCAGCACTTTGGGAGGCCAAGGCAGGTGGATCATGAGGTCAGGACCATCTTGGGCAACATGGTGAAACCCCGTCTCTACTAAAAACATAAAAATTAGCTGGGCATGGTGGCATGTGCTTGTAATGCCAACTACTTGGGAGGCTGAGGCAGGAGAATCACTTGAACCAGTTATCGGATGTTGTAGTGAGCCAAGATTGCGCAATTGCACTCCAGCCTGGCAACAGAGCAAGACTCCTGTCTCAAAAAAAAAAAAGAAAAGAAAAGAAATGAAAAAGAAGAAAAGAATTATTAATGAGTCTGGGTTTGGTGGTTCTTGCCTGTAATCCCACTACTTTGGGAGGCTGATGTGGGCAGATCACTTGAGGTCAGAAGTTCAAGACCAGCCTGGCCAACATGGTGAAGTCTCATCTCTACTAAAAATATAAAACAAGGCTGGGTGTGGTAGTAGGTACCTGTAATCTCAGCTACTTAGGAGACTGAGGCAGGAGAATCGTTTAAACCCGGGAGGTAGAGGTTGCAGTGACCCAAGGTCATGCTGCTGTACTCCAGCCTGGGGACAGAGCAAGATACTCGGTCTCAAAAAAACAAAAGAATTATTAATGAGATATTTTGCAATCTCTTTTTGGTACTAAGTCTTCCAAATCTGATATGTATTTTACACTTACAGTACATTTTGGTTAGTGCTAGCCACACTGCAAGTGCTAACTAACCACATATCTAGTGGCTACTATATTGGACAGTGCAGCCTTAAGGATTACTATATGTATCCTAAACTTAGAAGATTATCTTCATCCTACCTGCCACTTAGGGCCTCATTATAACTTACTTTGGAGTAGAGTAAAAGAAAAAGGTGGTAAGAGTATCCTGGAAGCTTTTGAAGGTTATGTTTAGAAAATTATTTGGAAGTAAAAATTAAAGTTGTTGGGGATCTACTACATTTATTATTACTATAAAAATAATTCCACTTAAAAAATTGATTTTTCAGAAATATTTTTGATCTTTTCTTTAGATAAACTTGGCCCTACAGTGTTTGCTCCTGTTAAGATGGATCTTGTTGGAAATATTAAGGTGAGCATGCTGGCTTGTCTCTGTAGAAACTTAAATAAAAGAAAATGTTTTCAATATTTTTGTGCTTGGCAAGAATAAATCAAAAAGTGAAAAATGTATCACTATTCTGTAAGAGAGCAAGTGTTTTTCTTGTCACATTGTGAATGCTTAGTAACGGAATTACTAAGCCTTTATTATATGCTAGAGGTAGTCTTTTTGGGGAGTTAAAAGATTCATTTTGAAAAAGAAACCAGGATTGCCTTTTCATATGCACAGTGTAGATCACTAGGGTTTCACTCTAATGTCCACATTGATTCTTTGCTTTTTTAGGTTTAAATGATGACAAGTTATATTTTTCTAAAAGATAGGTTATATAGTGAAAATACCTGTCAGTGGTCTGGGACTCAAAAGGCCCAGCTTCCAGGGGTAGCTATGAGACCATCAACAACTCACCAAATCTCTCTGAGCCTCTTTCTTCCAGATAAAATAAGGGATGGGTCCCCTTTTAAATGTAGATTAACTGTTACTTTCTTGAGGATACAATACCCAATAAAAATCTGTCTTTTTTGTCATTGGATACTAGCCTTTGAGGAAGCACTATTAGGAATTCCTGTAGATACACTTTTCTTTATTGTATTTCGGTGTAATAGTTGCATGTAGTCTCATTAGAGCAAATGATTGTTGAGTTTTATACTCAGAGTGAAAAGTATCTGCCAAAGACAGCCATGAGAGAGGTTCTGGGGCAGAAAGAAGAACTTAAAGAACAAAACTTTAGGCTGGGGTGGTGGCTCCATGCCTGTAATCACAGCACTTTGGGAGGCCGAAGCGAGTGAATCACGAGGTCAGGAGTTTGAGACCAGCCTGGCCAATATGGTGAAACCCTGTGCCTACTAAAATTACAAAAATTAGCTGGGCTTGGTGGCGTGCACCTGTAGCCCCAACTACTCGGGAGGCTCAGGCAGAAGACTCGCTTGAACCTGGAAGGTAGAGGTTGCCGTGAGCCGAGATCACACCACTGCCCTCCAGCCTGCGCAACAAAACAAAACAAAAGAACAAAACTTTAAACCCCAAGACTATTTAATTCCAGTTTAAGCTACATAGAATTCTCAAAAAAAAAAAAAAAAAATTATCTTGAAAACATAAGGAACAAGGTAATAGAAGCTTAATTTATTTTGATTTCTTAGAGGCCTGCTTGCCAAACTTAGAAGTTTCAGTACTATACTGAGTTGCTTGATAACTTCAGCATTTTTAACTTAGGTTGTTTTTCTGCTTTCCCTCCAGAAAGTAAATCAGAAGTATATAACCAACAAAGAAGAGTTTACCACTCTCCAGAAGATAGTGCTGCATGAAGTGGAGGCCGACGTAGCCCAGGTTAGGAATTCGGCGACTGAAGCCCTCTTGTGGCTGAAGAGGTGAGGCAGTTGGGATGGGACAGCAGTTAAAATCTAGCTCAGTTGAAATGTTACCAGAAAAAAAAAAAAAAAATTACACAAAGGAGACTACTTCTGAGTGAAAGATCTAATTGAATTGTGTATCCTTTTCTAGAAGGCCTAATGAATAATACCACCTTATTTTTTTTTTGCCTCCCTCTTGATGGTGATAAATATTGTTAATATTAATAAGTATATACAAGATAGGAATCTTAAAGGCATTAAAGTCAACTGGTTTCTCTTTAAAATCAGTGGCTCTCCAACTTCAGTGGCTTCTTAAAAACACTAGACTCAGAACCAGTTTCTGATTCAGTAACTCTGGGGTGGGGCTCCAGAATTTGCATTTCTAGCAAATTCCCAGGTGATGCTAAAGCCACTAGTCCTGGGACGCATTTTGAAAACCACTTCTTTAGGTATATCAGATGGGATGGAGGATGAGCTCCATAGCAAGCTAAGGGGAAGTGAAGGGAAGTTCAGGAAGCACTGCCGTATGATTTGACCTCTTCACTGCTGTGCCTAAGATGTTACTGAAATGGAAGCTGTTATCTGCCATTTCTTTATACCCATTCAACATAAGCGAACTTTGGAAATAATATTTCTTCCTTTATTTTGTTTTAGAGGTCTTAAATTTCTGAAGGGATTTTTGACAGAAGTGAAAAATGGGGAAAAGGATATCCAGACAGCCCTGAGTAAGTGTTCTTTACTAAAGTTTTGTTGGATTAATCGATAGAATGTGGAATGGAGACCCCTAGAGGAGGAGACAAGGTATAGGGAATATTTGTGCTTTTCAGGATTTGATTTTGCTTCCTTCTTATTTCATTATTACTCATTGCTTCCTATAGGCTTTGTTTAAAAAAGACCTATGAGACAGTTACCTGGTAATCTAGATGTAACTTACTAAAAATCAGTATATTTTAAAGAAGTGCTGATAAATAAAAAGCCATCTCTTAATCATAATAGGAAGACCTAATATTATCAAGATTTTCTAAATCTTCAAATGTATCATAGTCCTTGAAAATCAGTATTCAAAGTAAAACTTGAAGACCATAACAGTGGGTTGATGTGGGGGAATCCCAGGGATTTGTTTTGGAGTGGGATTAAAGGCTTTCATCATCCTGTACTCCTCAAATATATAATGCTCTGCACATCCCAGTTTGTGGACATAGAGCCAAAATGGGATGAAGGGCTTGGTCAAAGGAGAGCATCTTATATCTCCAGCACCTTAATGTAGTGACTGCAACATTGTAGGAGCTTAATAAACATTGGACAGGTAGGTAGATGGATGGATGTGTGGATAGAGGCATTTATCAGACCAGTTTTGGAAATTGTTGAGATTTGGGAGCATCCTCACAGTGCTTCTAATGGAGTAGCTGAACTCTCACCATTGATCTGTAGGATGTTCTTCTAGTATGGACCATGAGGCATGTGTGGAGGAAAAAAATGAACTGTGATATAGATTAATTAGATGCTTCTGGTTTGAGAGGGAGCTAGTGTTCTCTGTGGGGTTTTTCTTCAGTGTCACAGTTGGGTTCTACCTCCTTCCGTTAGTCCTCCCTCTGGGCCATGAGTCCTTAAGAATTCTGCCCCCACATGGTTTCCCCAGTCTGCCCCATCTAGAAACTGCTGATCTGCCATAAAAATGAGAGCTGACATTCCTATAGCAGTTTGTGAAGAATTTAGACTTCTTAAACTTCATTCTCATTTCAATACATTTTTACAGGCTAGGGAATGGTGAGATTAAAATACTGCTTAAGATCACATAGGGTCTAAAGCAGAGTGGCCTTGGGGCCCCTCCTTTGAAGGTCCTCATTTCTCCCACAAAGGGTCTTCTTTACCATCCCTTGGACACCTGCACTTTTTCATTCCCCATACATCCCTGAATTTCAGGATGATCTCAGTTTGGTACACAAAATACTCAGTTTTGGTACACAAATTACTCAGTATGGCCAGGCGCGATGGCTCATATCTGTAATCCTAGTACTTCGGGAGACTGAAGCAGGAGGATGGCTTGAGTTCGGGAGTTTGAGACCAGCCTGGGCAACTTGGCATCTCTGCAAAAATAATACAAAAATTAGCTGTGTGATGTCGCGTGTCTGTAGTCCCAGTTATTTAGGGGGCTGAGGTGGGAAGATTGCTTGAGCCAAGGAGGTCATGCCACTGCAGTCCAGTCTGGGCAACCAAGTGAGATCAGACCCCGTCTCAAAAAAAAAACAAAAAAACAGTGCTCAGTCGTTGAGATTAGCATCTATTGTTGTGATAATGATGTTTTGTCATCATTATCATCCTCATGATATATGAGGTTAATAAGCTGCCAGAAAATAACACTTATTCGTCTCAAATCAGAAATAGAAAGTTTACAAATTTTAGGTGCCAAGCCAGAAACTTCTCTTCAAACTAACTTATTAGTATGGAATTTTCACACCAGTGGAAAGACTTCTCCACCTGTTGGAAATGCAGAAGATATAGGGTTCAGCATTGTGTGCCCACTGGACTCCACATGTCTCATGCTGCTATTACTTTGTTAGGACTGCCTGTGGGAGGGGAGTAGGATGATGCTGATCCCATTTAGGCCCCTCAGAAACTGGGGTGGAATAGAACCCAGCTGCTTATGGGCTTTGACCCCTTAGAGATAGAAAGGAAACTGAGGATATACCATTTCTGTTCATTCCCAATCCCGATTCTGCCTACTTTTCTCTCCCATTTTCTCCTGAAGGTTTATCAAACCTTGTACTTGATTTGGAGACTGGGCTCAGGGGATGCTGTTGACTTTGTGAAGAAGGGAGAGACTTTGATGGGCAAATGCTGCTTTGTGACTGCAATAATCACAGCCAATCTCAGCTTTTTCTTCCCTCTCCTCTCCTTCCATACTGCTTTCAGTGGAAAAGAAAAGGGAGGCTGTAAATTTGACATTTTCATCCTGATGTTCAGGCTTATTTCACAGAAGATATTTATAATTTAAATCCTGTCTGATTGTGGAAATCCCTAGTTTCTTGCTGCTGCTCAGTGTGAGAAGATAAAGTTCCCCTATTAGAACCACCCTCCCTCCAAAGTTCCCCTGTTAAACCCACCCTCTGTCCCCCACAAACACAACAAGCTTGTGCAAATGGTTTTTTGAGACATGTTTACACAATAGTTATTCAGAACCTATAGGCTCCTTGATGCATATTTCTTCAGGGATAATGGCTTCTTTTTTCTCATTTCGAAGTCCTAGCCTTTATAAGTAGAACTGATACCTTGTTTGAAATGAAGGAGGATGAATATGTAGGTAAAAGAGTATGTGCAATTTATATGCCATATATAGGGAAATTTGTTGGCTTTTAAAAATTCTAAAGTTGAATTTAAAAAGAGCTATCATTTATAGTTAACACCTAATGTAACTACTACACTAAGTTCTTGATATTTTATTTAATCTTCTGAATACTCCCCCCTTTCCAGTGAATAAACTGAGATTTAAAGAAGATAAATACCTTCCCTAGGGTCTCCAAGTCTCCATCAGTGGTTCTCAAGCTGGTCCAAGGACAGCAGCTTCTTTATCACCTGAAAACCCATTAGAAATGCAGACTATTAGGTATCATTCTGGACCTGCTGAATCAGAAACTGTAAGACTGGGGCCTGGCAGTCCATGTTTTTGCAAGTCATTTGGATGATTCTAATCCATGCTAAAGTTTGAGACCTAGTCATCTAGACTTAGGCCATTGAGGTTCACCTGTCACTTGTCTACATCTTAATCATTTTGAGATTTTGACTGCATCTAAGAGATGATTAATAAGCAGGAGTAAAAGTGCTGAAATTAGTTATAGCATCAGTTTATTTTGCCTCCTTTTCATCATAAGTAGACAGCTTTCCAATGAAATACTGCTTAAGAAAGCTTTGTAGTGAATGTTCATGAAACTTGTATGGTCATAGTGGCACTTGAGACAGGACATTTATATGTAAAAGTCCTAAATAACATAGTGGAAGTCTTGACTCTGTTACCTTTCTGGAAAATACATCTCTAGTTACTGTATTGCTGCAGTTCTGTGACCTGGAAAACTTCCAGCATCTGGAAGGACACCTTAGACTTTACACTGTCCCGTTTTGCACTTGAGCCATCACTTGGCTTCCCCATAATGATGATCAGAGTGGAATTTTTTTTTTTCTTTTTCTTTTTTTTGAGACAGATTCTCCCTCTGTCTCTAGGCGCCAGGCTGGAGTGCAGCCTGGCTCACTGCAACCTCCGCCACTATCGGCTCACTGCAACCTCCGCCTCCCAGGTTCAAGCAATTCTCCTGCCTCAGCCTCCCGAGTAGCTGGGACTACAGGTGTGTGCCACCACACCCAGCTAATTTTTGTATTTTTTAGTAGAGATGGGGTTTCACCATGTTGGCCAGGATGGTCTCGATATCTTGACCATGTGATCTGCCCACCTCGGCCTCCCAAAGTGCTGGGATTACAGGCATGAGCCACTGCGCCCTGCCCAGAGTGGAACATTTTGAGTGGTTTCATGCTGAGAGCTGCTCTGTTCCCTTAGTGTCCTATAACATTCTTTAGAGGTCATTTTTAGGAGGGAGTTGGGTTCACAAAGCAGGTATGTTTAATAATCTGCCTTAGAGCTGAATCCCCATCCATTGCATATTCCACATCAAAAAGAGGTTTTAGAAAGCATCCTTGCAAGTAGAAGGAAGAAAAGTTGCTCTGGTATTTCATACACCATTGTATTAAATGTTATATGCTCTGTGCTCATTGGGATAGCATATTGCTACATATCTCACCTCAGAATGACTCCATAAATGTCAAGTAAAAATTAACCCAACCAAGATCCTTTTCTGGCACAGAATAGAAAAAAATTTAAAAGGATGCTCAGTCATGTACTTAATATGAAAGCCTTTCATAAACAAGGAGAGATAAGTGAGATAAAGTCAGAACTCAGATAGATATTTAACATCAAATCATAACTTGGCCATTCTAAAAATCCTATGGAGCGTGAATTGTAATACTCTTTGCAGAGCCATTTGCAGCATATGCCTCCATTGGCAGGACTGGCTGGCAGCACAAGTGTTAGTCTTAACAGTGACTGAAATTAACACAGGGCATCTCTGGGTGCTTGTTTCACTTCTTTCCACTGCTTATTGTCCATACAACTCATTTTACCTTCAGCTTAGTAACTATAAAGAATTTAGAGGTCACTTTCCTTAGTAGGTCCATTTTTAAAAATACGCGCCAAAGTGCTATAATCCCAGCACTTGGGGAGGCCAAGGCAGGCAGATGACTTGAGCTCATGAGTTTGAGACCAGCCTGGGCAACATGGTGAAACCCCATCTCTTCAAAACATACAAAAATTAGCCATGTGTGGTGGCATAAACCTGTAATCTAGCTACTTGGGGGCCTGAGGTGGGAGGATCACTTGTGCCAGGGACATTGAGGCTGCAGTGAACCATGTTTGCACCACTGCACTGCAGCCTGGGTGACAAAGCAAGACCCTGTCTCAAAAAAGAAAATTATAAATAATTGAGGCATTTAACAAACATCTACCACTTGATCTAACAAATAAAATAGTTCAATACAAGTTAAGTGCCCAGGTGTCAACCCTTAATCCCATGACTCCTATTGTTTTCCAGATAACATCATTCTGAATTTGCTGTTGTTCATTATGCAATGCATGTTTTTATACTTTTATTATATATTTATGTGTGAATAAGCAGCATCTAGT